GCGGGGCCTGGGGTCACGGGAGCTGCCCCCGCCCCCGCAGCTGGCACAGTCGGCGGCAGCCAGTGTCCCTCACGGGGGCGCGGCCCTGCCTGGCAGCTGCTGCAGAAGTGCCTCCGACTGCCCTGAGCAGGGGGCATTTCGGCCGGCCCGAGCGCCAGGCTGGCCTGACCGTGGCGCTGTCTGCAGACGGCGGGCGCCGGGGGAAGGGCCGGCCGAGTCAGGCGGGCGGGGCAGGAGAGGACAGCGGAGGCCTCAGCGCCATGGAGCTCCAGAGCCCACGGCTGACAGCGTGAGCGAGACCGTCCGCTCAGCTCTGCAGGGCAGGGAGCAGCCCGTCACAGCTCCGTGGGGTGCACTCAGGACCCGCCGGGAGCTCAGAGGGCTGATGAGCGGAGCTGCCGCTCGGGGCCCCCACAGCGGGCGCAGGAGCCCTGTGAGAGCACGACCGGAGACACACGGGGCGGGGCCCCCACCAACCTGCTGCAGCGATGAGCGCCCAGAGGGCGCAGCGACACGCCCAGCCCCCCGTTTCTCACAGCCCCTGGCCCTGGCCTCGCTGCGCGGACCTGCCCGTTCCCGGCTCTGAGCACGGCCGTCTGAGATGCCCAGCCCAAGCCACGCCACGTCCATGGTGTGGTCTGTTCACAGAGGGTCCTCAGACAGCCACATGGAGACAGGTCTGGGGGTTCTGGAGCAGCTGGCTGGTCCTCATCAAGGGGACACTGGACTCAGCAGCCACCCGGGGGCCGCCATGAGAATGTGGGCACAGGCCTGGCGCCTGCCAGCCAGTAGCCAGGGAGCAGGGCAGCGGCCAGATGCCCAACCGGCCCCCGGCAGAGCCAGCAGCTGCCTGGGCGAGCGGCCGTGTCCCGCTGGCCAGACCCAAGAGCCCCCGGGGCCCGGACGCCACGCTGAACCTGCCCCTTCCTCCAGCAGCTCCTGGGGCCCCCTGCTGTGCACCCGCCAGCTGCGGCGTCCCTCAGAGTCTGGCTCTGAAACTGGACCAGTCTCGTCGCTGCGCGGTGACGCCTGGAGGAACCAGCTCTGCTGCCTCCAGGGACCCAGCGAGCACTGAGCAGGAAGGGAGCCCCGGGGACGCCATGAGGACAACAGTGCTGGGTATAAAAGGCGGCAGCCCGGCACCTCACACACTCACCCCGCACTCACCCCGCACCCCACGCACCCCACGCACCCCCCTCCAGCGCGCGCCATGGCCTCCACCCTGTCCGTCTGCTCCAGCGACCGCAGCTACGGCAGCCGCCTCTGCCGGCCCGGGGCTCATGACTCCTGGCCC